TTGATGTCTGAATTAATCGTGAATTCAATACATTTAAAACTAAACTATACTTTTTATCGTTGCTTTCAAACAGAAATTTTGTGCCTATTTTTTGGTCAATAATTGTCATAATTTGATCCAAAGTGGATAGAAGTGGTGGTCGTGTCATGTCTTGCGTCTCATTAGTGTTGTCTTCATTGATGCTTAACGTGTGGATGCGTTGATGGATATCATTGACCGGATCTTCCGAGTCGTGGCTGTGATTGTGGCAAAAAAACTCGTTTACTATTTCAATGTTGACGGGAAGCGATGTCTTCGGGATTATCCGCTTCGGCGGTATGTCTAGAAAAAAGGAGTTAAAAATTATAATTAAAATAACAATTAAATTGTGAATTAAAAGTAAAGCATTGAATGTATGAAATGTATACCCATTTGAGCGGATGTTGTGAACCAAATGTTGAGACAATGATTGGTATTATAATGACATCGAAATGCAGTCAATGGTCCCAAACATGTGATCCGCCGGTCATTTGGTGTGACTTTGAATGCGATGTCTTTGCCATCGATTGTGACGCGAATGCAGTGACCGGTCGTCTCAACACTCATTTGTGCCACACTTTGGCTCTCATTAACGCATAAATTACAAGACAATTGACTTAAATTGTCGTTAAATATACAAAACAAGCGAAACATCGCTATAATAGTCTTCACTACTCTTTACGACACTTTCAAAACAAAATTCAAAACAAAACTTTATTTTCATTTTTCAGTCATTTGTTCACAAATAACGCTGTTTTGCAAAATAGAGCCCATATTCTGGTCACCAGAATCTGGTGTAAAGAATTGACAATTATGTGCAAAATAGTGAACCAGAATTGACTGTTAATAGTTTACGGCGAGAGTACACTGTATGCGATTTATTATATACCAAATTATGTGCATTTTAATTGCAACCAATACTAAGTCAGTAAATAGTGTGCAATACTATTAGATTGTATTGCATTTGATTTTGAAATCATTTGTCCGGTAATGATATTAAATTTACATCAAATAAAATGCCGTCAATTCAGTTACAATTCATCAGTTTTTAAGCAAATGTTTTTTAATTAAATAATTTTTATTTCTATTATATTTAATAATTTGAACTTAAATTCAATGAATAAAAAAGAGAAATA